TGTATGTGTTGTGTGTTTAATAATAATGATAATAATAATAATAATAATAATAAATAAATAGTTAAATTAAATTAAAAAAAAAAAAAAAAAAAAAAAAAAAACGAAAAGTCGACGGAAACGAAGCAGCTGCGTCAAGCAGCTGCTGTAAAGGAGGAAGAGGGACGGTGGACGCGTAGCTGGAGGTGTGAGAGGGATGAGTGGGTGATTAGGGGAGGTGGTAGCGTATTAGAGCCTGATTAGGCTTTAAAAAGAGAAGAAAAAACGAAGAATGGAGTTGGAAAGAAACCCAGTAAACAGAGGAGGAAATTTTGGAGAATCCGAGTTTTTGGTTGCTTAAAATTGGACATCAATCGAGGGTAAAGGAAGAGGGGTTGTTGCTGAGGAATCTTTTGAGGAAAGGATACGGCCCCGAGCTGAAGCGGACGGTAATTCGAAGGTAACGAAAAAACCCACATCACCGAACCTTTAAATCTCGATATCTTGAGTTATACTGCATAATAAGTTATGAGATAAGGCTGGTTAGAACCGTAGTTAGAAGATCTATAAAGTTGTAGAAGAAATCAGAACGAAATTCGAGCTGTAGAAATGGAATTTTTGCTTCGGGACACAACGGGTATTAAAGGAAAAGATTGGGAAAAATTTCAGGGAGGAGAGGTTGAAGACGAGCGCGTGAAGGACACGCGAGGCGCGTGGGAAGGCTGCGAGTGGAGGTGCGACTGTGCGCGGATCGGCGCGTGAGAAAGCAAAACCTCCGACCTTGTATTGGCGCGTGAGGGCGCGTGAGAAGGTAATTCGGCTCTCGGTTTGTCCCGTTCGACTCCTTTTGACCTGTCCTACCAAAATTGATCTATATTTATGTTGAAATTGATAAAATATAGGTCTAATAGGAAGGAATTGTGTTGAAGTACTATTAAACGTACATTCAAGGAGGAAAAAGGGGTTCGAAACCAAGTAAGTAGCGTATCGACCTTTGAACTAGTTCTTAACTTGTTTTACAACATGTGAGTATGTTGTTTACCTGATTAAGAGCATAATAAGTTATGATGAACTTTGATGATATTTAGTGTTATCGTATATTGTGACTGCTTGCCTGTGTTGTAAGCGTGATATAAATGATTTTCAGAATGTTCTACGTGTTGATCATGATATATGTATGGAAGCATGCAGTAACTGTGAGTCTGTTATGCATGTTAATGGAAAGGTTATGATTCTAGATATGCTTATTGGTGGTTGAGCTATGGCTTATTTACTGAGTATGATAGTCTACTAATTCCCGCGGAGTTCCTGGCCAACGCGCTGTGTGCTAAGTCAGGGAGCATGAGTACTCCTGACCGTTGGTATATGAGATAAACAGGCCGCCAGAGCAATTAGTAGACGGACCGTATTTGACCGAGAGCGAGTCTTACATACGAGTCCGAAAATTCTAGATAAGCATATCGAGAGAGAGTCAGTAACCTAGCTGGAGGTAGCTGAGATACCTCATTAACGCACAGATGACCCTAGTAAGAGAACTAGGAGTCAAAGATGAACAAAACCTAAAAACACCTGGAAAGATTAGTTATGAACTCTTGAATGATAAGCTAGCTACTTACTGAGTAATCTAATTACTCATCAAAATTATTATAACTTTTCTTTCCAGATTTAGTTGATGCAGGCCAACCGAGGACGAGACCAGCGGACTGAAGACTACTGGGAATCCATGTCTGTGTCTGTTTATGTTTTCGCTGTCAAGAATTTACTTCGGTTGATTTAAGTTTAAATAGCATTGGTTTTAAATGTTTTACTGAATGTTTTTTTTTAAATATGTTGAGATTATGATTGGGTGTTAGAGTATGTTGTCGTTGATGGTGGTAACCCCTGTTAATCGCGTTGACGATGAGCGGGCGTTACATGAACTAAATTTATAAAATGACAGAAATTATATAAAAAAATTAAATTATTTCTCACCTATTACAAATTAACATATATCTATTAAAAGATTAAAAAAAAATTATTTATTTTTTAATAAATTTGGCTTTTAAATTCTATTAAAAAAAGCACTTAAATGTATTTTAGGGGGAAAAAAACACTTTAATTTTCTTTCTCGAGTGATTATATAATAAGTACTTTTATTTAAAATATTATTTTTTTTCAAAAAGGCATATTAAACATATTTATTAAAATTTAGATTATTCTTAAATTTTAGTTTAAGATTTCAAAAAGTCAAATTATCTTTTATATTCAATTTCTTCATATGCTAACAAAATCAAAGAATCTCACATGGAAAGTACCTTTAGAGAAGGGATATCGGATAAATTATTGACAAAATTTATATATATTATACAAAATCCTAAAACCGTGTAAAGAATCGATGCCAATAATCTAAAAAGTTGATAACTTGACAAAGGAATAAGATACCGTTAATGTTTCAACGAAGACAACCCTAATTACCCACTTGAGTATATAACTCGAGACATATATCATCGACCAAGAGGTTAGAAGTTCGAATATCCATCTCAGCCCAAAATTTGTTAAATTCATTATTGATTAGGTTTTCCCGTTCGCTCTCTGATACCTTATTAAGAAATCTTCAACCTTGTTTTTCATGTCATTCTTAAATGATTCTAAACATGCAACCTAAACTATATAGAATTATTGTACGTGAATATATTTTGGATAAAGGGAAAGGGATATCCCGAGACAAAGAAGATGCCTAATTCTCTTATCGACTTGGAAGAATAATATAAAGGTGAAGGAATTGGAATTTGTTCTTCGTCACCCAAACCCAAGCACAACCCATCACTTGAGAGATTCCTCTCCTCGGTAGCATATAATATGTGACATCTGAATAAGGGTGAGGTACATAAATGAACCGAGATTATATCCGAATGAGGCACACCTTCCTTTTTAGTGGTTCAATTATAAGAACTTCATGGTTGAACATGCTTTACTTTGACCAATTCTATGTTGATGACTTAGGCAGAGTGCATACCAAAATACTGAATCCAATTACAGATGTGGTCGACAATATCTTCAAGTTTAAGTATTTTTTTTTTTTTTTAACTTGAAAATATCTTGAGAAATTAAAATCTAAATTTATCGCGAGAAAATGAAGGGAATTTAGTTTTATTGTTTTGCTGGCGGTGTTTTTGACTTTTGTCACGTCCAGCGAGGAAACTTGGACGGACAGATAACGCCGTTATTATTAAAGGAAGTCGGTGCACGGAGTTGAGTTGGTTCCGTTTTGTTGGATCATTCTATTTGAATGTGGGGCCCCACAGCAGATCTGAACCTATCAATTTTAAACTAAAATAAAAAATAAAAAAATAAACTTCCTTAAAAATAAATCAATTTTGTTTTTTTTATAATTAAACTAAAGTTAGCTGACGTGTGATTGGACATTACGTGTAACTTTATCCACGCATTTTTTAACAAGTCCTTAGTCATATTCCAATGCCACGTCATGTACATACACTTTCAAAACTAAAAGCCTAAATTATCCAAAATTGATTACATAATTGCTTTTTGAATGTATTTATAAAATAAAATAAATGATAACAATAATCTTATTTTTTATATACACAATAAATTTTAAAAACATATAAATGAGAGATTTAAACCTTTAATTCGTTAGTATATTGAGTTATACTTAAATTGATATTTAATAAATAAAAAAAAATTTCCTTTAAATAACTCTGCCAACCACCACCAACTTACAAAATCATCCATTCCTTGTGAAACTTTCTAAATAAAGCTTTCAATTATTTTTTATCTCATTTTTTTTTCACATTTATCTCTCCTCCACTTTCAGGAAAACAACTATCATCAGATTTATTTGAGAATGATTGTTGAGATTCATCGAGATTTACGTGAAAGATCATATATATTAAATCTTTATTAGATCTTCAGTAAATTATTACGATAGTTTAGTTGAGTTAGGAAGTAAATGTTAATCATTTATACGAATTCTAGTAAATCATGTCAGATTAATAATATTAGATTAAATTTATATCAGTAGCTAAATATGAATTGATTAAAAATAGAATGACCAATAAAATTTGTGAACAGAAAACATTTGGATAAGGAAAGATTTGGAAACTTGGATCTACTAGAAATTTAGAATACTAAGAACAAAAAATGAGAGCAATAAAGCTCAAAATAAGTTGAAATAACTCGAATTAATTTTTTTTTATAGCACGAAAAATTAGTTTTTTTTTAATAAAAATATAATTATAGATATATAACATTTCAATACTTTTAAATATGGACCAATGTAACATATATAATTGAGGACGTATTTAAAGTGATTTTGAACCGGTTAAAATTATTTTATTCCTATTTTTAAAAAATTACCAATAATGATTTTAAATTAATTTAAATAATTGATTTTATATTTTTAAATGCAATCAAATTTTGTGTTACTAAAAAAAATTAAAAATAAAAAGTGGAGGAACCATCGTAATGGATCTCCAAGTCCCACACGCTTTGATTTGGGCCTTTAAGTGCCGTTTGTTAAGCCCGGCCCATTAAGGTCCAATTTCAAAATATTGGGCTCAAACTTATACAGTTGTATAAATTGGCACAATAATATATTTTCATCTCACCTAAATTTTTAAAAGAAAATAGCATTATTAAAACCCTTAAATATTTGAATTTTTTTTTATAAAAATAATTAATGTATTAAATATAAAATTAAATATTATATCTCATTTACTAGTGGAGTAACAAAAATTTAACGTATCAAGTTAACATTCGAAAGTTTGCTAATTTTACGTACATATCTATGTATTTTACGACACTGCTATGATGTTACAACCATATTAATAAAACAATGTTAATAACATGTTTGAGAAGTTAAATTTTGATGCAACGGCACGAGTTTTTTTTTTGTTCTGTTTGTAAATTGTAGTACTAACAACGTTAAAGCATTGCCTCGTGATTCTTTTAATGGTCATTTTGGTACGTTAAAAAGAGATACTAGGGTTTAGGGTTTAGGGTTTAAAATAAGGTTTTGGAGCTTGAGAAAAAGACTTTAAAGGGTAAATATTATATGCTGGAGAGCTTCCTTAGCTTATTTTTCCTGTGTATCTATGGGGGCAAAACAGTAAATAAACACATAAAAAAAAGTAATAAAACGGCTAAGGAAGAATTACACAAGGCCACCACTTTCTATTTCACTCTCCATATAGGGATTCCGACACCGAACGCGGCCGAGTCGACTCACTTCGGCCCGCCGGTGCCGCTGCCGCTGGCGACGGGGACAGTCCAGGCAGAGGTGGCGATGAGCGGGCGAGTGTGCCAACCCAACGTCAAACTCCCGTTATTCTCTTCAACTTTGTACCCGTTTCTTCCATGGAACAGAGCCGACAGCAGAGTATTCGCCTGCTTGAACGCGTTTGAACCCAGATGAATCATCTCGAACCCACTCGACTGCATTCGGCTCAGCCACTGCGCCACCGTTTCATGCCGCTCGACCCGATCGGTACCTTCACATCCCACCACGTTGCAGATTTGTCTCCCTAAATACTCCTCCGACCTCACCACATCCAACGACCCAACGGCCGACGCTTCTTCAAGCGCATCGAATAAGCTCGAGTAATAGTGTAGTGCTTCTGTGAATCGTTCCATGAACGATGGCCCATTGTGGTTCGCGACCTGCTCCACCAGAGTGATGATTTTCGGGTTCAGAGCTTTGATTGTGGTTAGAGCTTTTTGAATCGCGCCTGGATAAGCCAGTAGCCGGTGGAGCTCGAAAATGGAATTTATAGCCACGGTTTCCGCTTCTAAATCGAGCATGAACGGTTCGAGATCGCCGAAATTTTTACAGTAGAAACCACGGAATTCGAATTTAACGCCGAATTTCTCCGCGAAATTGGCCAATTTCGTACCCGCTTTCTGTAATCCGTCGCCCGGCGGGGAGCTGATTCCAGTGAGATAAAACGCCGGAGGTCCACCTGGACGGAGTGCGAGGGCCTGAATCAACGGCGGCCATTGGAGACCTTGCTGGAGGTTGAAATCGATGACGTGGACAGAACCGGATAATCCGATGGATTCCAGAATGGCTTGATTGGCAGTGAAATGGGCAAATTTCAGATAAGGGCAAGATTCATAGAAATGGATTTGGAGTTGATCGGTGTATGAAGATGAACAATCGAAGGGCTTCAATGGGTAGAATCGGTAAATCCGGTAAGTCAGGGCTTGGGCGAAAAACCCGGCGACTTTTCTTACAGCGCCGGTCTGAACGTCGACGAGGATTTTGATATGTTTGAGTATAGCTTCGGCGAGGTTAAGGTTGTTTTTACTGACGGCATCGGCGCAGGCAAGGAGGCTATGGACCAAATGGACGCCGGTCTCAGCAGAATCCACCAGAACCACCGAGCGCGACGGCTCCGAGAACGACGGTGCCTTAACAAGAACCGATTCGCAATCGGAGTTCTTATATCGCTGTCTGGTGCTGGTGGAATTAAGTTGAGGGAAAGCGGCAATGCCCGGAATTACTCGAAGATCGTACTCAGAGTCATCGGTGAAGGCGGCAGTGGTGGCGATGGCGGGAATGGATTCATCTCCGGCATGAACAGGGTTATTGAGTTCCTCAATCATGGTTTCAATCCAAGAAGACATATCGGAGGGATTATAATGGATTGTATTGGAAGAGAGATGAGAAATTCCATCATGTTCGGATAAACCCATCACCATTTCAAGCTGTTCTATTTTCAGAGCTACATCAGACATGTCCGACGACCGGACATTATAGCCTAGAGCAGCTAGAAGCTTGTCTTCGTCCTGGTCACCGACCGCCAATTTCTCGGTCTCGGCGGCGGCGGGGTTTGGGGATTGATGAGTGTTGTCTTGCTTCATAGTGGTGGGTGGGTTGCTTTGTAGAGTTCGGGTGTAAAGGTTGTTGTAGAATTTTAATTATTTTAATTATTATTTTCGTTCTCCTTTGTTCGTTAGTTATAAAAGTAAGAAATTAATTAATTAATTACTCAAATGATTTATCATTAAAATAATATAAAACAACTCAACTGTATCTATTTATCCATTTTAATATAATTTCTTTCTAATAATTCCTTTAATATTTTATATTTATATATATAATTCTATTTAATTAAATTTGAATGTCCTATAAAAATATTATTAATTAACATTATAATTAAATTTTAATTTGTGAATTTTAATTGCGTAAAGTGCTACTAATGCTCATCCATATCCTCATGACTGACCACTTACTGACCGGTCAGCTGCCCGTACACCATTTCCGATTCTCGGGCTTTTGGGATCCAGGGATTGTGTAGCCTCTGGGCCCCACTCTTCCCCTATTTTTTTTCTTATCCAACCTTCTTTCTACGGCGCGTGTTTCACACTCTCCTGTAACTCTCTCTCTCTCTCTTTTTTAATTAATATTTCACGCATTTTAATTTAACAAAAGCATTCGAAATACTATTTATTGATTTTTTTTTGTTACAAACTACATTTAAAATTATTGAATAAGAATATTAATGGACGTGGAGAGCACGCGTGAGGGGAGTCGCGTGGGAATTAAAACAGAATCCGGGTCGGGGGATCAAAGGGCATGTGTCCTACAAGCTCCTCCTTTAGAAACAACCTTAGAGGCTTTCTCTAATACACCACGTGGCTCAACCGTGACTTTCACGCTCCTTTATATTAGGTGTCTTCTCTCACGCGCCTCATGCAAATAACCAGGTGGGTCCCGCTCTTAATTTTATTTTTATTTTTTTCCAACAATTAATTCTGGTTTTTTCTTTTTTCTTTTTTTTTCTCATTTGCTAACGCGTGGACCCACGCACCTAAATTTCGCCCTCATATTGTGTATAACGGCCACTCCCTTTTGTAAACGCCCATTACATGTGCCGAGCTTTATACTTTTTTTTTTCTTTAATTATTATTATTATTTGTTAATTTGTTTCCATCTCAAAAATCTCTTGCAATTTTTAATTTATTAGAAAATAGATATTTAAAATTTAAATTTTCTAGTTTATTAAATACAGGTAATATATTCTATATAAAATTAAAAGATTTAAAAAATGGTTTATTTTATTATTTAAATTTTTAAAATGGTTTTCGGAGAGTTTAAGATTGTCCCCTACTTACTTCCGTTACGTAAGTATATTTCAAGTAACTTTTTTGTTGGGTTCGTTAAATTTTAGTTATTTTGGTCGGTGGAGTAAGTACCTAACGTGTAGCGTTCCCGCACATTCGGCATTAATGAGATCGATCATACCAAGCGTGTAGCGTTTTCCCACGCTCGGCATTAATGAGATCGATCATACCAAACGTCTAGCATTCCCTCATGCTCGGCACTTATGAGATCGATCATTCTTTTTGTCGTGACTCGTATTATAATAATACCTAAATTATCGTTACTCTCTTGGTCGTCTCTTTAAATTCTTCGTTTTAGATTTTGTTTCTTTCTTCTCTCTCCCGAAAACTTTCATCAAATTCCGCTTTCTAAACGTTACGTGTCTCTCATCCACTCATCCAAATTCATGTTCTCTTTAGATCTTCTAGTTATTTTTCTTTCATTGACTTCAGAAATTTTTTATTAATAACCCCATAAATTAAAAATAAATCATTAGAATTTACCTATTTTAGAAGGTAAAAAGTTAAAATTTATCTCATGAACGGTAAAGAGTGTTATTGAGAAATTATATTATTTTATAATAATTTATTTATCGTAATTTGGAATATCCAAACACGTAATAGATAATTAAAAAAATTAAAAATATCATCAATATTGTAAATGGTTGAAAATATCGCGTTCATTGAAGGATTAGTTATATAAAATACCTAAAAATTAATTGTTTTAAAATGCCACGTCATTATTAAAATGAACCCTAACAAATTCTAAACAAACTAAATTAAATTAAATTAGAAAGAAAAATAATTAAAATATGAAACCTTTTTTAAAAGTCATTTTAATGGTTGATTTTATATTTTAAATATAAATCAATATGATATTAAAATAATAATAATTCATTTATGATATTAAATATAAATAATTCATTTATAAATTAAATTGATGTTTAATTTTAAATTTTTAATAAACATTCACCAACGTGGTGAACGGCGATGGGAGATGGGCATCAAATCAAAGCTACCACATCAATCAAATATTAACATAATTAATTAAAATTAAGTTTGTTCTTAATTAAAAAAATTAATGAAAACTAAAATTTCCTTTTTAAGCCGTTATTTGTTTATTTTATTTTTTAAATAATAAAATGTACGACTATAATATATTGTTCTCTTTGAATTTTTTGTCTCGTACTTTCTCTCAAAGTTTTTTAAAACACTTCTGTTATAGAGAGGATAATGCTCCGTTCACGTCCCCAACTAATGTGGGATCTCACAATCCATCCTTCTTTAGAGCCTAGCGTTCTAGCTGATACTCGTTCCTCTCTCTAATCGATGCGAGATCTCACAATTCACCCTTTGTTGAGTAACGTTCTTGCTGATACTCGTTCCTCTCTACCATCGGTGTGAGATACGACACTTGACAACACAGATTATAATCCCAATTTAAAATTTAGAATTATATAAATAAAATCATAAAATTTTGATAGCCTAAATTGGCAATATGTTGAAACAGGCTTGTAAAAGGGCATGAAATAAGCAAGGAGTTAGAGTGTTTTAGGGGTTGAATGGTTAATTCATCAGTTTCCCACATGCTTTGACATGTGAAGTCTTTTAGGGTTTTGTCATCACTTTCTCACATGCTTTTCCATGTGAATTCTTTTAGGATCATACATGATATATACGCCTATACTCAGTTTATCTCGTGTAATGGAAAAGTGGCAACTCAAACGCATGCCATAAATAATGGCTTTTACTTTTTTTTTTTTTTTTTCAACTTTATATTTACTTCAAAAATAAATTACGGTTTACTACCTTAAATGTATTATATCATGTGTACTATTGAGCTATGTTGATGTTGACAAAGTTTATAGTTATAGTACGATTTAGAATCAGTTGAACTAGATTTTTAATTTTAGTTATTATATTCGAAGAGTAAATAAATAACGGTTCTCGATTCGGTTGTATTATAATTGGATTCCCAGTTTGGTTTAGTTGGGTATTATAACGGTTCCCAGTTAACCGTTTCCATTATAACTGGGTATTATAATAAATAACGGTTCCAGTTCGGTTGTATTATAATTCGGAATAAATAAATTGAAAATTTCCAATTTTAGAAGGGTAAAAAAAATATTTGTCGTTAGAAAAAAATTATGCTGAGAAATATAAAAACGGTATAACGTGTTAGATGAACACGACTCTCCACAATATTACGATATTGTCCACTTTGAGCATAAGCTCTCATGGCTTTGCTTTGGACTTCTCCAAAATGTCTCGTATTAATGGAGAGAGTATTCTTTATAAGTCGATGATTGGACTTTCATCCAACATCTCCCCTCGAACAAAGTACACCTGCCCTTAATCGAGGCTCGACTTCTTTTTTTTTTGGAGTCCTTTGTTCGATGTTTGAGGATTCTATTGACATGGGTTTAGAGTATGACTCTGATACCATGTTAGACGAACACGACTCTCCACAATGGTATGATATTGTCCACTTTGAGCATAAGTTCTCGTGCCTTTGCTTAGGGCTTCTCCAAAAGGTCTCATACCAATAGAGAGAGTATTCCTTATAAACCTATGATCGGACTTTCATCCAAAACATAACGAGCATGAGTTTAGCTTGCTTATCTTCGTTTTATCCAACAAAATTTCCGACCAAATCACCTAAGAAAAAAAAGCCAATTTTAGAAGGGTATAAAATATTTATCGAGAAAGAAAAAAGAAATGATGTCCGAAAATATAAAAAACTGTAAAACAAACATGGGCCTTGGGAAAAAGGCCCATGTTTAATATGGGCCTTGGGAAAGAATAAAAGAATTTGGGCTTGGGCTTTCTTGAGGAAAAGCCCATTTGTACCCTCACACTATATTTATCATCAAAAAAAAAAAAAACATATTAAAATAAATATAAAACCTTTAACCAATAAGAATTCAAATTATGAAGATACAATTATTTAAAAATTTGTGAAATTATTAAAGATGGAGTTTAAGAAATCATTTATTTTTCATTTTTAGGTTAAAATTGAATTTTGATCCATGTGTATATTTTTTATTTTAGTCCTTATAATTTTAATTATTTAGATTTAGTCCCTGTTTATTAATAAATCTTAAATTTAGTATCGATACTAAATTGGTTTTTAAAAATAAATTACATATTTTAATTGGAAATAAATAGATTAAAAAAAAACCCAATTTTAGAAGGGATTAAAGTATTTATTGAGAGAAAAATGATGCTCGAAAATAAAAAGTGTATAACAAACATGGGCCTTGGGGAAAGGCCCATGTTTATATATGGGCCTTGAAAGAGAATTTAATATGGGCCTTGGGAAAGAATAGAAGAACTTGGGTTTGGGCTTTCTTGAAGAAAAAGGCCCATTTGTACCCTCACGCTAATAAAAAATTTATTTACATGGTTTGAAAATTACTGGTATTATTTAAATAATTTAGATAAAATAAATAAATTTAAGATTTATTAAAGTATTATTGGAAAAAGAAAAAAAACGTTCATTCGCAGAAATTCAAACCTCATCTCCAACCCCCCTTCGCTCTATCACACGATCACTATCAAAATTCAAATCACTCTCCATTGCGAGAATTCCAAGCTAAGAAAGAGCTAGAATTTCACTGCAATGGCGACGCTAATGTCGGGCTCCAGAGTTCAACCAGCAGCTTGTGTTGTTCTTTCCTCCTCCATCAAGCACCATCTGGGTTTTAATTCCCTTCGTCGTTCCAATTGCTCCTTCTCTCATTTTCACCATTCCTCCTTCTCCTTCAGGCGCTCTGGAGCTAGACGAGCTCTCTCTGTTTCCATGTCCGTTAGCCCTCTTGAAGCCTGTGTTAAAGCTTCCATTACCGTTCCCAACAAGCTCGGCGACTGTAATTTCTTCTTTTCATTTCTTGTGTTTTTCTCTGTTCTTCATTTTTGTGATTTAGCGATTGGCTATGCTACTGTTGGTTCATTCTTTTACAAAATCATCCGTGGGTTCTTTTTTGTTTCTGGGTATTAGATAAAATATTGGTCTCTCCAAACAAATTGGACATGCTTGGGTCGAACCCTTTTGGGTTTTTATAACTTATTAGATAAACATGAAGTTGCATCTCAACATTGAGTTAATTAGGATCAAATGCATTTCCCAAAAGTTATAATAATTCGTAATTACGAATGTATGAGACCGACTCTTTGTTGCCATCCACTGAACTTGAAAATTATCGAAGATTGTGTAATCAATTGGTCCTTTTAGAATCATATGAGTGTGACATTGATTGAAACCGGAGAAATATATTGATAGTGAAGAGAAGGGAGAAAGATGATTCTCAAATTATTCAAGGTATTTGGACCCTTTCTTCTTGAGGACTCTCATGGTATGAATATCACGTTAAAAAATATAGACGTTAAATTGATTTTGAATGATTAAAGACATATTTGGAAGTGATTTTAACCATTTCAAAACCATCACCATGTGCTCTACTGTCATATGTAGAGCGCATGAATTTGATGTACTAATATATAACCTCAATTTGGTCTTAATTATCAAAGTTTTTCATTCTTCGCAGGCCCTTTTTGCCAAAGAGTATTACTGACTTTGGAGGAAAAGCGTCTACCCTATGACCTAAAGTTGGTAGACCTGTCAAACAAGCCAGAATGGTGATTATCTAATTTGATCTCTCTCTTTCTCTGAGGGATTAGTTTTTGTATAAACTTTTTTATCTGAACCATTTGATTTCCCAGAAAGCTTTTTTGATAAGCAGAGAAAGTTCTATATTTATGCCTTTTAAGTGTGCAAATCTTTGAATTTTTTCTCTGTTTGTCTGTTCCTTTTTTTTTAATTACTTCTTTTGAGTGCAGGTTCTTAGAAATAAGTTCAGAGGGGAAAGTTCCCGTTGTTAAATTTGATGAACAGTGGGTTGCAGATTCAGATGTTATAACACAAACACTGGAAGAGAAGTACCCAAACCCACCTTTAGCGACCCCTCCCGATAAATCTTCAGTGTATGTTTTATGTTCTATAATTGCTTCAAATTTGAATTTTCCTTGTGGGTGTAAATTCATTGATATGACACAATTACTAGACGTAAGTACAATAAACTTACCTTATGGAAACCTTAGCTGATGAGCGCTCAGTGTGTGTCTACTTTGTTGAGGATTGTTGGGAGAGAAGTCCACGTCGGCTAATTAAGGGGTTGATCATGGGTTTATAAGGTAAGGAATACATCTCCATTGGAATGAGAGATTTTGGGGAAACTAAAAACAAAGCCATGAGCGCTTATGCTCAAAGTGGACAATATCATACCATTGTGGAGATTTGTGGTTCCTAACATACTCATCCAAACATGCTCATCAGCTTGCAAACCGGTGTTCAGATTATGGTTCTGTAAGGGTAAGGGAGACTTGATGATATTTTGAAAGTCGCAATATTCAAACAAAATAAAAAGGAAAACTAAAGCACTAAATCTTACATTTTCATGTGTTTTCTTTCTTCTTTTTGTAGATTTATGGTTGATCATTAGTAGTTTAAAAGACAAAAGGTAGATGAAAACATGCCATGAAGCTGAAAGCCTTTATGTAAAGAACTTCTGCATTCACGAATTTGAGTTCAGTGAGAGTTTTTCTTAATTTGTGTCCACGGAGGGACAAGAATTTTGTTCGTTACATGTTCATATTTCATCTCCATCAAATTATTAATATATAGTTACTGGCAGCTATTATAATATTTTTCCTGCAGAGGATCAAAGATTTTCTCCACGTTTATTGCTTTTCTAAAGAGCAAGGATCCTAATGATGGAACAGAACAAGCATTACTTAGCGAGCTGAGTTCTTTCGATTCTCACATCAAAGAGAATGTAAGGCCCTTTTTCTTTTCTGTAAGTTTCTTTTAAAAGAAAATATCGTGCCAAACAGGGGATGAGCAAGAATGAATTACAGAAAACTTGTTGAATGCATTCTTGATTAATATTACAAGGTAATTATCATCATTACTTATAAGAACAGCTTATTCTTCTATTTTTATCATCAACATTTATGTTTTGATAATAGAAGCAGCACTGGGCAAAATTAACCACTTATGGTGTATTGGCATTGAGTACATAGGAGAGTTTTATATTTTTGAAAAACATATCAAGTTCATGTTATTCTTCTCATGATCCACAAAGACTTGAAGCGTGTATGTTCTTATGGGCTTAAGTTTCATATGATCCAAAAAGCTCATAAGACTCGAGGAATGTGAGTTTCGCTCTAAGGCGAGCCTCAAGTGCAAGCTTCAATTGTCTTTTAAGACTGTTTCATAACCAATCTCTCCCTAACACAAGTGGCAATGCATGAAAATGAGTAAATATGTTATCTTCTTTTGTGACTTACCATTTTCTCTCTTTTGAAAAGGGCCCTTTTATCAATGGGAAAGAGATTTCTGCAGCAGACCTGTCACTTGGTCCAAAGTTGTACCATTTAGAAATTGCATTGGGTCACTATAAGAACTGGTCAGTCCCAGACAGCCTACCCTACGTTAAGTCTTACATGAAGGTACGACTGAACTTTTAGCTGAACCGTGATTCGTAGTTGGACCACTGTTGTTTAGAGCCATTTTATAAGCTAATCGGAACACATTTCAAAATATAGCATTACTATCATTTAGAACAGGAGCTATACATTATCATTGGTTTAGTATCATTTAGAACAGGAGATATACATCATCATTGGTTTAGTACCATTTAGAACAGGAGCTATACATTATCATTGGTTTAGTACCATTTAGAACAGGAGCTATACATTATCATTGGTTTAGTATCATTTAGAACAGGAGCTATACATTTTCATTGGTTTAGTATCATTTAGAACAGGAGCTATACATTTTCATTGGTTTAGTATCATTTAGAACAGGAGCCATACATTATCCGAACACTTTTCAACTGCTAAAATCTGAATTCTAGATTCCATGTAAACAGCATCACAAAACGAGGTCCATTAGCTTCTTGTTTGTTGAATAGTTGTGCCTATTAGCTTGCAATATGGTATTGAAATGATCAAGATTTAAGTTCATATCTTTTCATCCCACGTTACTTCATGGGAACATGATTGAATAGAGAACTTTGGTCTGAAGTGCAGGATTGTGATTGGACTCCATGGAAAAACCTTAACCATTAGAACAACATGCAATATTATCCTTGAATTTGTTTCCTAATGTAACTGATGCTTTGCTCGTTTGTTTTATTACTTGCTTGAGATATATTCATTGTGATTTATGACATTGTAGCAGAGCATATTTTCAAGAGAATCATTTGCAAAAACTCGTGCCCTTCCTGAGGATGTTATTGCTGGTTGGCGTCCAAAGGTCTTAGGTTAATATCTTTTCTAGGCTGCTGATTCGTCTTGATATGAGATTCCACTGCCCTGCATCTCTTCTAAGGCAGGCACCGTAGTCATCAAAATGAGTGCTTTTCTGCTGCTTCATATCACACTCAAAAGCTGTTTAGTAGGAAATGTTAGAACACTATGCTTATGTCCAATACATCTTGTAAATTTAACTTTTGGCATGGTCGACTTATGATTGTTTGTTCGTTATTTTATTTGTTTATGTTATATATTGTTGTTATTTGTTGCGTGGAATTACAATTCCCCAAATTGTTTGTATCCACCCTATTCTTGTACTTGACTTAAATATCGAGTATTAGACTGTGTGGCATGTCAAATTTCTTCGATCTTCAATCTCAAAAGTAACTTCAGACGCCGCATGACATATTATATCGTTGTGCCTATAAGAAAGTGTCGAGATTATCAAGTCTTGAATTTTAGGCATAGGTTGTTGTTAATCTCCATTGTTCTTGTGGCAAACAATTTTCCTGGTTAGTGTTGGACTCGACTACGAATTTCACTGTCATGTCACTATTCTTGTTCACAGTTGAAGTCGAGCCAAGATGGGCTAATACGTCGACACAAGCCTAGGTTTTCATTGTTCTCGTTCAATTATCGAGTCTGAACTAGTCTTGTTATTCTTTACTTTTAGCATTGAATAAAAATCAATTTTTACTTAGTTGTATCAATTTTTTACTTAAATTTTTATTTCATCAAATTATCGGGAACGTAGATATGTTTGGAGTTTCGACATTAAATTCTAATATTATTACAATTTTGCCCTTTATAAGTTTTCATAAAAAACATTATACAATTCCAAAGAAAACAGCTCAGTTTAAAATTTGTGACAAAATTAAATATAATTCAAATAAATAACGTTACAAAAAAAAAAAAAAAAAAAAAAAAAAAAAAAAAAAAAAAAAAAAAAAAAAAAAA